TTGTTGTTCAACTGCTAATGACAAGTCAGACGCCTTTTTAGTCAAGTGATTTGTACTTCCTTTTTGTTGCTACTGTTATTGTTGTTTTGTTTTGTTTTTTTACTTCTAACCGTGATGTTTATTGTCGATGTGTTTGAAGTTAATTTCAGGTTTATTATTTTTCCAAACAAAACGTTATCTCTCTGGGGGTGGGGGTATTTTTTTCATCGTCTTTCTCTTTAACCTCTGACCAGTTTCATTGATTCAAACTAACGTCCATATATATGAAGCGATAATTGAGCAGTAATAATGGTGCTCAATTTTCGGCCAATTTGATCACGGTTTCAAATTGTGCACTCAACTTCTTCGGTTAAAGTAACTAGGTCGTATCATATTAGCCTTCATATACTTAGAGTGTGGTTCAAAGCCAAACATACGAATCTATACTTCCTAGTAAATTAGTCAGTCTGTGCCTTATAGATAAATTTTAATTTCAGTAAGTGATTTATTTCTATAAATCTGGTATCCGTTAAATTTCATCCATCCATTCATTCAAATACCTGGGAAGCATAGTCGATGAACAAGGAGGTTCAGATGCAGATGTAAAGACGAGGATTTGCAAAGCAAGGGTCGCATTCCTACAATTGAAGAACATATGGAACTCAAAACAACTTTCAACCAATATCATAGTGAGAATCTTCAATACGAATGTCAAGGCAGTCCTACTGTATGGAGCTGAAACTTGGAGAACTACAACAACCATCATCAAGAAAGTGCAAGTATTTATAAATAGCTGTCTATGCAAGATACTCAACATCCATTGACCTGATACCATCAGCAACAGCCTTTTGTGGGAGAGAACAAACCAGCTTCCAGCTGAAGAGGAAATTAGGAAAAGACGATGGAAATGGATAGGGCATACACTACGCAAATCGTCAAACTGCATCACAAGACAAGCCCTAACTTGGAGTCCTGAAGGGAAGCGGAAAAGAGGAAGGCCAAAGAACACATTACGTCGGGAAATAAAGCACAGATATGGAAAGGATGAATAACAACTGGAAGGAGTTGGAAAGGATTGTTGAGGACAGGGTTGGATGGCGAATGCTGGTGAGCGGCCTATGTTCCTTCACGAGGAGTAACAGGCGTAAGTAAGCAAGAAAACGAAGTAGTTATGACTAGATGTTCATACTATAGAAATAAACCACTTGTCTGTAGTGTTTTTTTCTCAGACTAGATGGTCAAATAATATAAAACATCTAATCGCGTTCTTATTGAAAATTTGCATCACACAAAGCTAACATTTGACATTGTAACAGAACTTAAAAATCTATTTTAAAGGTTATGGTTTTTTCGCACATAATTCAACTTCGAAAGAGAAAGAAACAGGACTTCATCTCTTTCTCTAATTAACAAATAACAAAGCTATGTGATATATTCAAGTTATTTGATAGGAAAGAAGAATAGTTTATAAGTGAACTAATGTGGTTTTGTTGTACTATACACCATTCAGGAAACTAGCACTATTCACAAATTGATTTTAGTCAGATGCGTATATAATTGGATGTCGGCTCTCTACAATGATTAAAGGTGCTTGGTTCGACCCCCGGCAGGGTCGTGGATGTATAGTAATTAATCGAAGGAAGGTTTGAGAAAGTTGGACAAAATATTATTCCACATGTACTCCACGTATAGTGGCATAAATTTTATTTCCACTATTCTGGGAACGAGTTGAACTTTTATGGTTGCAAAAAAAGTTTAGTTTCACATATGTTCGTAAATCTCATCTATGTGTGTATGAGATAGTGTTATGATGAATGATGTTCTAGATCTGGGGCTGATACACAACATACTACGTACTAACCCTCCAACTGACTACTTAAACGAAAAGTATCTATTGGGCTGCCAAATAACATGAATAAGTACTCATTTATGTATATAGATTTCTACGCGTTACGTAATCAGTGGTATGCATTCGACCTTTTAAGTTCATTTCTGATTGTCATTAGGTGACCTCATTTGACAACTTTTAACTGGCTCACTATATCAGACAACCTAACAGTAGTTTTATTGCCAGCACTATTAAGGAAATGCGCGTGTTTTTGTCTGTTGGATAGGTTGAGAATACTTGTTCGGTTGCATAAGCTTTAGCAATAGAGATTTGTAAATTCTGAACCGATCTACAAGGTTTTAAATAGTAATTCTACTCACAAACACCTAACTGTAAACAGAATTGGACAGTAATTGTTTAAATTCGTTATCCTCTTTGGTAATTAAACGTTAGACAACTAAAATTACTAGTCCTATTTCGATTTCAGTAAAATAGAAATTCCAATTCAGGCATATAGTAAGAAGTATTTAGAGTGGAACAAAAATACTTCTTTTAACTAGTTTCCTATTATAGATATATACTATTTATTTATTTAAACACATAAACATTGGTACAAGGGGCACCAAACAGATATGCGCTACATAAATCACTCGATTTTTGTTAGGGATGGGGTACTGCCCGAATTGAAGCAGATGGTTTTCTTAGGGGACATACTCGGAACCTTCAAGCTAAAGGTCTGATCTACAGGCCAATGGGGCAACGTCGGGAGATGCAGACCCATGGTAGCCGGTGACTAATAATTAGTTCATGCTCCATTTGTTTCCTTAGGATTCTGGAACCCATGTGCACCATTGGTTTGGAATCAGGGTTTCCCAACTCTCTTAGGTGGACATTCCGTGTCCACTAATCCGGTTAAAGCACCAGGCATTCTCGATTTCGTAAACAACAGTAATGCCGCGAAATGGCAGTGAGTAGGACCTCCCTTGGAGTGGTTGTATGCACGTGCCTATGTGAGAGCATTTGGAGAGGGAGAGCTGACTCTCCCCACTCTCGGCCGTACCAGGACATTTGGGGGCCCATAAATAGGAGAATATGATAATCAAAGTAATTCTTTGTGGACAACTGAAAACATGCAATCCAATAGTTGATAGATTACATTATTTACTAAGTGAATTAGCAAAGCATCTCGATAAAAAGTCGACTTGATAGTTACGTATAAATAAAGAGACGAATACTAAAGTTATGTAATGAAATTCCGAAAAAGAGGGGACGTGATCTCTAATCCATTTTTGTATGGTTTATATGGATACCCAAGGCAGAGAGAGGAGTTTTACAAACTTTTGAATATGATGATTCCGTTGATAATTGTGAATTTTGATCGTTTTAGCGGCATACTAATGATAAACCCGTGAACTATATGTTATTTTTCCATGGAAAGCGATGATGAGTCTGAGTGACTGTCAAAATCAGTCAAGTGAGCAAAAATAGAACTCTTGGATGTCCTTTGCTTAACCACTCCAGATGGCGTTCTGCAGTAAGATAATGAACTTGCTGGATTCTACTCCTAATGCAACTGAGTCCACTAGGTTTAGTCGACAAGTACTGTTCTGTACTCGATACCCATGTTGATGTGTACTTGGTAGTAGTTTTATTCACTCATCACTGTGCTACATATTATCTGTATTTTATTATGACTCTTTGTGTCTCATTTTCCGCTTCTTTTTTACTGATAAGATATACGTAGTCTTACGAACTGTGTGGTAGTGAAACATATGGTGTATATTCATTTGGTATTGCGAGTTTTTTAATCAGTACGTAACGAAAAAACTATTCATCAATGGTTTATATACAATGTCTGTAGGTTGGTCCTGTAATTAATTTTTTGTGGGTTTTACTTTAAAGAGAACATGAATAAAAAATGCCTAACTATTGGGTTAAACCGAGTAAAACAGGAGTGCTTTCGAAAACCACCGGGATAATTTTCTAATAAATTTCAATTTATTTCGATATACTGTCTTAAAGTGGTTGCTCAGTCAGGACAATCATCCAGTAATGGCATTGCAAAATTCCTTTTAACATCAAGTTAGACGTAGGAGACCTCAATGTTGCAACAACAGATAACTTGTCCCCATGGCTGTACTGTAATTTTTTTATCACAAGATAATCCAATTGGGAAAATCACACTTCTCATTATATTAACCTAACGACAATACGTCTACAAGTCAAGCCCTTATCTACCACCATGGATGTTAGCAATTTATCAGCAGTTAAACCTGACGAATCTTAACTAAAACAGCCTGTTATTACTGGATTCCCATTAGCAACAATATATGAAATTGAGTGTGCAAGATTTGGATTGTTTCAATTCAGCACTAACATAAACACCTATTTGGGTTAACTGTACGCTAAGCTCCCTGTTTCAAGATAGTTTTAAAGAACAAACGTTGACAGTCAATTTCCCCCTTTTGTTACCAAAAATAATCCCACTTATAGCTTCCATTAATTTATGCTATTTAGAAATCACATATTTTCGTCCCGTCATTATGAGTTATTGATACAGATTTATTTAATAAATTTGGATGTCTCAACTGTTGTTTCCATAGCTGAATTTACTCTGCTCTATATTACGTCGTTATTGTGGCTGAGATTCTTTGCACGGTTGACATAGCATAAGTACTTGTACGTCGAGGTCGCCAAACGCGCATCCCGTGGAATTCAAGTCATCTGTATACTTATGTAAGAAATCAAGCCACGACTTTGAAACCAAGTTTCTCGACGGTAATAATTTAATGCACGTTGACAGTGTTTGGGATATGCTTTCCTCTGGCTACTGATTAGCGCTGTTCCCATACCATATCTTCTTGGAGCATTTAGAAAGATATGTTCAGTTCCTCCGCCATAAGATAGACATGACAGCCTGTGACTTGTCACACAAACGCCATCAACGACAAACCGTAGGAAAAAACTAATATTAGTCCAGATGCTGACTAGAAAGTACTTACCAACTTACAGGTAAAAATTCCACATACAATTTCATCCTCAAAAGGTCTAAAATGACCGTCTTGGTAACTTACTACGGAATTAGTACAGCCTTGTGTTGGTTACGATAGGTGAAAAACATCAGTAGCCTAATGCTTTTATTCGCTAACTTCATATAATATACGTATGACTAGTTAGTAAGAACCAATGTGGTAGAACTATTAGACGTTTTATTCAACATGTTGCGAAAGAAAAACATTGAGAATAGAATATAACAGATATGACTAAAGCATTCAATTAGAAAAAGGCTAGCAATCGTATTAAAAAGATCGCTAACCATTGACAAAGGAAAAACGACAAAAGTGAAGTACACAAAGTTAGTTGAAACAGATAACTTGAATGGTACAAATGAGTTTTCTTAATAGATATTTTAATTTAGTAAAGAAAACAATCCTAAGTATGAGTATTTATTTTGGTAGTAGAATAACTACAATACTTCAAATGATGGGTAAAATACAATGAAATCATGTACCCTGACAACTTATGGAGAAGATAGGAAAGGGAAAAACAAAGATTATAGTCCATAAGGAGTAAACATGTTTGCATATTTACTCTATGAAGTCACCATTGCACTTGAGGTGATGCCAGAAGAGGCTTGACGAGAAGACAAGCTTGTCCCGGAGATAGCAGCTCCACCTTGTCCTGGAGAATTCGTGAGCACACCTTTTCTCTTTAATAAAGCAGGATGGATGCACGGTAGGACTCCGCCATGGCTAATATGTACGTGCTTTAACAATTCATTTAACTCAGCATCATTTCGAACTCCCAACATTATATGTCTTGGTGTAATAGTTTTCCTGAAATGAAAGATGTATTATTAAATGAATAAGCTTTTCAAGAATTTTGCGAATCACATTATTTAAATCTGTCGTTAAAAACTTCGTAATATTGTGATTCGACCCCATGTAAATATGTTCTACGAACAGTAAATTAACAACTCGCATTTTAAAAGGGAAACACACGGTTTAACAATTGTGTTTACCAACACACTAATAGCATTTTAGTGAGTTTACAATTTTGCAATTGACTAATTGCTATCTAAAAGAGTTGGCTTATATATATTCATGCTGATTCAGTCAGTCAGCAGCAACGTAGAATTTCGTACGTACGTACATCAGTTCCAGTTGCCACACCACCTTAGCACAGAGATGCAGTTGTCGATTCAAATCCCGTAGTGGTAGAGGTAGCAAGAGTATAAGCAGTAATCGGGAAGATTAGGGTTTGGAGATGTTATTTAAAGAGTATAATCCAGTGAAATAAATTTGAAGATAGAAGAAAATAAAGGGACATGAAGAATTCAGAAGATTAGAATTTGGGGGAACACAGAGTGGATGCACCTGTGCTATTGCAAACGATTTTGAGCCATGTCATTTAAGGTCTCTAACCATCGGTTGCTATCGTCTCGCGGATCCCAACCAGGTAGTCTACACTTACCAAAATGGCTCAGTTCACTTGCCAGCGACTTCATGGATGTGTCATGTTTTGGTTTGGTCGCCCCTACCTTTCTTTCAACCTACTCCTATACCATGAGACATCGCATGTCGGGGCAGTCGGTGGTCGGGCATACGTAACACATGTTTCAGCCATCACAACTGATGAAGTTTCACTACTTCATCAATTGATTTGCCATCCTTACCTAGTACCCATTTCCTAACAACTGCATTCCTTACTCGGTGGTCCCAGGATATACGAGCAATGCTTCGAAGACACCTATGATCGAACACTAGTAACCTACGAATATCCCTTACTCTTACCGGCCATGTTTCACTGCCATAAGGTAGGACGGAAAAAACTGCTGAGCAGTAAACCCATCCTTTGGTTGGTAGACGGATATCACGCCTACGCCATAAATGAAGCAAGTTGGCAAAAACTAGAAGAGCTGGTTCCCAGAACTTAAACATAATAGTGTTCATTTATATCATATAATGCACCTGATCTGTTAGTTTGTTTTCATATGGTAAATAGTATCAGTTTCAAGCAGTAAACGAACTTTTTAAAAGTAAAGAATACGGAAATTGGAGTAACGAAACTAGAAAACTAAAACCAATAATATGCATAGCATTACCACTCGTTTTTTGTTTAAACTACTTTTCATGGAACTAGAGGCGTTTTATTGTCCATAAAAAGCGAACATGCAAGCCGAAGTTTAACCAATGCCAGAAAGTTTTAAACGGTAGTATTAAGTTAGCCAATAGACACAGCAGCCGGTTTTTGTGTGTCATTTATTCGTATTTGTACATACTGTATATACATGTCCTTTTTTATTGTGGAAGCTAGCTTAGTATTTGATGATTACCAAACAGAGATGCAATATTTTTGCTTCTTAAAGTAGTATTTAAGAGTACATTTGATAAAAAATAAGACATATGGGGACTGTTAGATTCCGTATATTATATGCAATAACCACCTCCCGCTATGTTAACTGATGTACAAGTACGTTAAAAGATAGAGGTAAACAAACCATAATGCGGTATTCATCCAGAGTTATTGACTGCTGGTCTGAATCATATTAATATGTATGGGCTACTTGTATGGGGTCGGTGCGAGAACCATAATCAGTAGCTGCAGACGTTCAGCGACACGGCTAGATCTACACTATTTATCTTGTTAGTTTTCAATTTGCGTAAACGCGGTATGACGACTAACGCCAATGCATATTCCCGCTAGGTTTTATGATGGGTTAAAATTCATGCAATATTTTCCAATTATACCTAATACTTATTTGACAAAAGAAATTCAACATTTAAATTGTGGACAGGTCAAATGCAAACCAACTGGCAAGAGTCAGATTAAATCTCAAGCATATCGGTTTATCATGAGCCATCTCTAAATTAAACGGGAACCCCATAATTCTTTGCCTGTACAACCTGTTGTGGATGTGAAATACTGTTCGCCATACGAAACACGAGGTATGTTAAGTCTTCCAAGATTAGGTCCTTACGCATAACCGACGTCTTGAATTCCTTCTACAACCCAACAGTGAGGTTTACACAAAAAAGTCTCTAACCACTGAGTTCTGGACTTTTGGAAACTTAGTGGGAACCAAAGCATATGTGATCTACGCAGAACGACGAGCTGGAATTCAACTGTTTGAGGAGTATACATTGCAAGTCATGTACTTAAATCAGCTCTTTTTAGGTTAACTGATAATCTTCACTTCTTCTTCATGTAACTCTGCGAACGTGATTATATGCTGGAGTAACTGACACAGGAGCAATCTGCTAAACTTGTACACATAGACATTCGGGAAACGAACCAACACTAGATACACAGTGCAAGCATACTTGGCAAACGGGATGCGGGTCAATGACGATATATTCGTAGACTGATAATTAGTCCTTTAATACGCATCAAAACATATAAATACCTACCTTAAGAGGATTTTTAACTTATTTCTATAAGACACAAACTAGTATGAACAAGTATGAGCAAGTTAGTGCCAAAATATCTCAAAATTCTAGTTAATGACATTAAAAGACCAAAACGAAAATAATGAAAACCCCCCACCTTTTGTTTGCCTTTGCAGCATTTCCTGACAATTCATTCACTTCAGCTACTAAGTATTCAATAACAGCAGACATATACACTGATGCAGCGATGGACGTTCGCCGAGCATATCGACCTTTCTTCATATAACGATGAACTCTACTGACGGAAATCACCAAGCCAGCCCTATTGGATTTTGTGTGTTTCTTGCCGCCAGCTGCCTTTCTTGCCTTGCCTCGTCCTGACATAATTTCTAATCCGGGTTGACCTCAAAAAACAGTCCTAGAGCGCGGTACACCTAAGAGGTCAATAACTTAAACAAAGTTTAGATGTAGATTTTCGAAGGTCTTCCAGTTTAATAATTCTAGAACAGAAGACTACTGTTAGCTATTTTCCGGTAACCTTCTGCACATGCCCATTATTTTATTGGGTCAGTCAACTGAAGTGGCATGCAGCACTTCTTCCCTGTTGAATACTCAGTAGAAAAAACTACATTCCAGGAGCATTCTGTTATTTCTTAGCCTTTGACTTCGTCTTCCTTATACTATGAGTTTTATTTATACTGATGGAACAAAGAGACGAAATATCAACCCTAAAGTCTTTTCGTACTGTCCCATGTATCACAATTAAATCACTTTTAAATATGCGATAAACTAAGTTTCGGTCACAGTTTGTGAAGAACAGGAGCCTAGGTGGCCTGTGTTAGTCCTAAAAATAGTGTTCTTTCATCTGATCCAACTTTCTTCTGAAAGCGTCTACAGATGGAGCTTCAATCACATGTTGAGGTTATAAATTTCATTCGTTGATGATTCAATGAGAAAGTCGATGGTCAGCTGACAAATAGTTTGAACCTTTTTAGTCTCCTCGTAAAATCTTCGTTTCGGAGTATGAGAAAAGTGAAGGCATATCAGATGCAAATTGATCACTAAGTAATTTAAAATATGTGATCGAGCGGCCTGTGGTTCTTTTATATGACGATGTTAGTAGGTTTGGTTTAGCCACCCGAGCATCATATAGGAGGTTTGTTATTCTGGAAATCGGCTTATTTGTGGTTTCTGAGGCTTTTCTGGAAGTTCACTGTCTCTTTTTGGGCAGAGGTTAGTCGCTTGTATGCACTACACAAGTTTAGGACGAAAAAAACTATATACATAGTCAAAAATGTCTTAGCATCGACATGGCCAAAGACCTAAAAATGCCACAACCATTCGTAGTTTGATAATGCCTCAACCAGTAACAAATTTCCTAACCAAATGACGCAAACCCAGTCAAATCAATCAGAACCGAAGTGGTTCGAAGATATATATGATAGTCTATCAATATATTGAGAAATGATTAATGTAAGTTGGCTAGCAGTTGTAGATGTAGAGCGCGACGTACTCACTCGTGATCTGGTGCAGATGAGCAACCGAGCACCTTCAGCTTTTAAAACTAATGAGGTCAGCATCAAATGTCCAAGACTTACAGAGCTATTTATTTCGAGGATTTGTTTACCGCTACAGGCCCTATATATTTGCCATAGGATTCTAAAACCGTTAGTGGCTATCACACGGCAGTGTGCAGTGGTTTTTAAGTTTTGGCTAACGATTACTCTTAAGTCATTGAGTACCTGGAAAACAGGTAGCTCAGTGTTATTCACCGTGTATGTATCTGTACCCCAATAACTAATACGCGTCGCAATGAACTTGGAAGCAGTTGTCTGCAAGTGAGAAGTTTTAGACCAGTCAGATAATCTCTCCAGGCCATTTTTAAGCCATAAACAGTGACCTTTATTTCGTATCGCTCTCCATATCTTGACGCCGTCAGCAAATAACACAACCTATGTTTATAGGAGATCTGGATGGCCATTTACACACAGGAGGAACAACATTGGCCCCAGAACTGTACCCTGAGGTACTCGAGTAAACACATTTTCCCAGCTAGTCAACTTCGAGTTCACCCGTTCTCCTTATTGGAGCCCAACCAGGAAGTCTTTTATCCACATTGATAAATTGCCCCCAACCCCGATATTACCTGACTCACATAAAAGCCAATTTTGAGTATCATTGTCAAGGCTCTGCTGAAGTCAATGCAGGCTGCGTCTGTGGATAACATTTTATATTTAAGGGCGCACCAACTTTCATGGGCTACCACTAACTCAGTGAGACAGGAATAACCTGTTCTAAAGCCATGTTGCTTTTCAGGAAGAATCCGGTTTTCATCGAGGTACTTGGACAACTCCTTCGAGATGATCTCTTCTAAAATTTTAACAATCTCGTTAGTTAGACTTACGAGTCAATAATTCTCGGGCTTATGTTTCGTACTTATTCTGAAGACAGGAATTACTATGGCGTTCCTCTAGTCTTTTGGTAATCGACCCTGGGTTACAGATAGATTAGAATATATTCTTGAGGGATTCGCGACGAAACTCGCTAGTTCATTTGGTAACCTGGGATACATTTCATCGGATCCCATGGATTTGCTTTTATTAAGCTCGTTCAGCAGACCGAATACATGGACTTCTTTAATGGTCACAGTGTGCAGCGTGTATGTATGTGTGTGGGGTTGTCTTGTATGAACTGAAGGGACGGGTGCTTCTACGGTATACACATTTCTAAATTGGTTCGAGAATACCTGAGGTTTTCCGTAGTCGCCCTCCGCCAATGCTAAAACACTACTATCTCCCCATAATGCTAGAATATATTCTCTTCTCTCAGTCCTTTGGTTTATTTACGAATATAAGCGTTTTGGGCATTTTTTAAATTCATTAGTAAGTTTTTCTTCAAACAGTCTTCTAAACTTGTGAAGGGTTGAGACACAAATATTTCGACCTTTTCGATATTGAGATTTCCTTCCCCTCAGAAACCAGTAACCTAAATCTCTCCCACGTTCTTCTCCTCTTACGAAGAGGGGAGCGAAACACTTTATTGGGCCATTGTGGGTAGTTTCAGGACCTCTTGGTGTAGTCTCATGGATGTGAGGCGCAGTGACATCTAAGTACAAACTTCTGGATGCTTCCCAAGCCTTTCTAATGAGGACTAATCTACTGAGGATGCTGTGTGTATAATGCCTCGTATATTTGCTTCCTAGACGTTAGGTCAGGTATGAGCTGACACATGCTAGTTTTTGATAACTATATGGAAATCAAAAACCAGAACTGCATAATCACCTTTAACCAATGGTGGCATATAGTAAGCTTTGTGACGTCATACTCACAATGGGTAAGTAAGAGATCTAGTACGGATAATTTGGAGTCTGGGTCGTTCCTAGTCGCTTCTTTCACATGTCGCACTAGTACACATGTGATGACTGTATCAACTAGATCCTGTTCGAAGGAATGTTCCAATAATTAAATTCTCATACTTTCAGCCTACCGTAGTTGTATTGCAGTCTCCTGAGATTGAATATCAACCACTTTGTGACCAAGTATTGAAACTGTTTAGCAAGACCTCTCTCGCATCATAGCTTGGACTGCAGCAGACCACACCAATCAACAGCTCTTATTCTTTGTATCTCAAGCGGTAACTAACTAATTTTCACATCGCACATTCGTTGGATATGTTATTTTTTTAACAGTAAACAAGTTGGTATCTCAAACGAATAGAGCCATTCTTCCTTTATGCTTCCGGATTCTGTTGACTCTTACGAATGTGAAACTTTCAAAGTCAGATTCTATACTGTCCAAAAACTGTGTCAACCAAGTTTCCTTGACTGTATTCACATATGGTTTGGTAGAATCTACCTGTACACCTAACTCTGATCGCTCATTGAGAAAACTCCGAGTATTTGTAAGACAGATCCGAAAACCATTTAAATGGGTTCGTGCTTCACCCAGAGAGGCTTCAGCATCATCCTCTGCCGAGGCCTCATCATTCGAAAATTCACAACTTGGGGATTCTTCCCACCACCATCTAACCTAAGTCACATTTCTTCTTTTCAGCAAAAGACCTAACTTCAAGCTACCAATAAAACTAAAGTAGTAACGTTTGAAAGGAAAACGTTGACACCAGTTTTGGGACTTAAGAGTCCCCTAGGTGCTCACCTTAACGAATTTGGATCCAATACCACTGAGAGATATGAAAGATATGAATACCTAGTCGATACAAAGAAATGTCAATTGACGTTTAAAAAAACTGTGAGCTAGGCGAAAAACAAACGAAGTTAAGTCATTTTTTAAGTGTGGTATAGAATACGTTGATAACAACTGCAAAGTTCCAAGATATACATGCAAACTTTCCAAACCTCATCAAACCAAGCCCGGTATTCCAAAAGTAAGCTAGTAGTAACTTATACAGGAGATTATAACCTGGCAAACGTAAGACTATTAGGGCCGGACCTGAATATATGCAGTAGTTGAGTGTTGTCCGTTCGTCTAGTGGACAGTGGGAATCACCTCCACATACAGTCTCGTAGATAGATGAAGGTGATAGGAGACCATGCAGCAATTATAAATCCCTTAACCGTCGAACCGTACCAGGTAGGTGTTCGGTACTTCACATCCAAGATTTTACAGACGGCCTACAGAGTACAATCATATTCACCAAAAATGATCGAGGACATATCACAATATCCCATTAGCTGAGAAAGGTATTCCCAAGACAGCTATTACCACGTACTCTGGGTTGTTGGAGCTTGCGCGCATGACATCCGTCCTTAGAGACGCGGTACAAAAGTTTAAGATGCTTGTGAACGACTTGCTTCGAGATATGCCCTTTGCACGAGGGCATATTGATAAGTTTTTGATCGACGGTCTTGATTTGAAATTACATGAATAACATGTGAGTCGGATTAAAGTAATCAGGTAAAAATGAAAGCACACCAACATAGGTGTTTTCGGAGTTCAAACTCTGAAACTTCCTGAATGTATAAAGTCCCAGAAGGCAGAGACTATTGAATAAAATCCTATACCAAGCTATTTAACACAACCTAGAAAGTTCCCGGGTCTAGCTAAATTTCATCGACGACTGATACTCAGTTGTGCATAAAAAGTGTATCTGTTGACAGATCCCAGTAGACTTAAAGCAAAAGGTTTTAAGCTGATTTATGGGGCTACTAAGGCCGTGAATGATCTAAAAAACAAGCTAACCCAAGTATGTATGTTGGTATTTTAGTTTACAGTAATTGTAGACATACTGATCTGATTAGAATTGAAGGTGTTCAAAGAAGGTTCACTAAAGCTGTTCTGCGGTATTCCGATAACAAAGACTATTACCAAAGATGTCAACAACTCAACTTAGAGCCTCTTTGGATCAGACGTATCAAATTAAATCTTGTCTTTATCTACCGGCTTATTAACGGTATTTCCTACTCTTCGGTATCCACCCCTTCATACCTTATGATATCATCCCACAATCTACGCAATAAGGAGAATATTCTAGCGATTCCAAGAACCCACACAAACTTACGTCAGAATTTTTTCCTTATTCGCTACTCAACCATGTGGAACAGACTGCCAGTGAACCTCCGTTGCAGTGAAACTACAACCCGGTTCAAAAGTCTCCTTGACGATTTTCTTTCCGAAAGTGGATTATGTCACCTATTGAATATCAATGTATTCAATAATGATTTATACAAACAAGGTCCGTCATCCATTTAATTGCTTGAAAAGCAAAATAAAACCTTTGAATCTTTCCACATCTATTTTATTTTATTTCTATTTATCTTAATATATGAAATCTGATTATGTTCGTGTTTATCATTATTTCCGTTATTAATATCATTATTAGTTCCCTGACACATTAGATATTCTTTTTGTATCTTCTTATCCTTCTAAACATATTTAACTCCAGATTGTCCTTTAAAATCAATTTTGACTTTCATAGCATCAATCTTAATTATTATTGCACAAATATTTATACTAATATCCGGTTTCACTCTGTATACTATTACATAAATCTAAATGTATTCATCCGAGTGCATTGAAGGATTTTTATTTTATTTTTCTAAATTGTTGGTTTCCTTCTGAGGTTGATATTTATTACACAATTATTATTCTTATCATGAATCAAAACTTTTCACTAGGTGTTCACTTCTTTTCACTCCATTCTTTCCCTCTAAATAAATATTATTCTTAAGATTACGAAGTTTGTAATTAAAACAATAACTTGTGTTACACTTAAATTTAATTCTCAGACCCGTTTTATCTTCACTATGCATATATGACTCATACATATTGATATTTTATTATCCTTTTCACTTAATTGAGACTTTCATAGCATCACTCCAAACTATGTGACTGCACAAACATTTATATTCTAGCGTCATATCTTACTGCAATTATAAGTTATTTTTTCTTACTAATTTGACGATACACACATAGTCGTTTGTTCTTGTTTTATGTTCATAAACACGCCTATTAAACTGTTTGTGTACTTCACGTCTCCTTTATTTCTATTCCCTTATTTTCTGCATTTCCTTCTTTAGACTCAATTCAATATTCTTCTCAATTGCACAGACCCGATTTATTATTATTAATATTCTACTATTATTGCTCAAAATTTTTTTTTAATGGCCAGTAGAATGCTGACATTATTGAAAATTGTGTATTATTGCATTTTTTTGAAGAAACCCGAAATGGTTTCTTCACAACACTTATGTACCCATAAGATGTTTGTGAATAATAATAATAATAATAACAATTTATATCACAGCCCAAAAATGGCCAGAGATTTCATTCAGAAATGGGTCGCCACTCTTTGACGTCCTTCACAACAATAACTGACGAAGGGGTCTAGTTTGAATTTGAGCTATTCAAAAACTTATCAAAATTTCTATGAGCTCATAAAACACATTGCACAACGTATCATCTTCAGGCTAATAGGCTGGTAAACGCTTGTGCTATCAGCTAAAAGCCGCTCTAATACCACGGTCAGACCCCACTTTATGGACAGAATTCCTGCCATTATGTTAGGAATAAGAACAGCTGTCAAATATAATTCACATATTTTGGCAGAAGAAAAAACCTTTTAAGCAACATTAAGAGGGCCGGGAGAGTTTATTAGTTCTTCTAACGAAAGTCAAATGCTTGACCTAGCAAATTATGGGACCAACTACGGGTTCAAATTTCCAAACATAAGCCGTTTATGTAAGCGATTTTCCGAAACAGGCATCATCGGGTTTAGTGTTCTTCGCTGATAATATGAGACTCCAGGGAGAAGTTTGCAACTAAGAGGATAATTTGGCACTTCAGGAAGTTCTCACTCGACTTCAAAATTGAGCAGACGGACTTACCTTTAACTCTTCAAAAAGCACAGTAGTCCATCTGAAACATGTTGCAGACTACGAATACAACTTGGGTAGCTCTCTTCTAAAAGTAAATTATAGCCTCGCCGGAGTGCCTCCAATCACTGGACCTTTACCTCATTAGAGTACAGAAGTCTTAGAGGTGACCTAATGACTTACAGCATCCTAAAAATTTCTGAGCACCCATTAACCACCTACTTAAACCTAGTCCCAACATAAAAATCATGGGCACCGCACAGAAATTAGAGTCACAACACAACAGGACGGACTGTAGACACACCTTCCGCTCTTTAAGAGTGGTCGAAATCTGGAATTCGCTGCCGAGTGAGCTAGTTCAAGTGATTTCCCACGAGTCCTTTAAGCGGAACCTTGACATATTCTTAAGGACCAACAGCATTATTCCGTTATAACTTACTAACTGTTTTCTCTTTTATCGTTAAATATACCTAGTTTCTTGCCTGGAATCATTGGTGGCCCACTGCTACTAGATACGGAAGCCCTCTAAACCAAAGCTTCTTATATACTGTTCAGAACCATTTCAGTCTCCTCGTTGTTGCAAATTACAAGAATTAATATAGGTCGATAAACCTACTATCCTTACTACTGAAGACTGAAGACCGATATTGAATATTGGATGATAAATGACCTTAGGGAGACCTATTATCCAAAGCTGTGCAGTACTGTTTGCAAATGACCTATAGAGTTTCAGGACTGTTGCAGAGGAGCGGCAAAATATTAAAAGGATGTTATTACGGCACCTTGAAGCTTGCAGTAGATGGCAGTATAAAGCGTGCCAAACCACCTAATTATGATTTCTTTAGCTCTGGAAATAATTACCTAAGATTCCTATTTGATAATACTAAAACTATGGACCGATTTAACGATAATTCAAAAGTAATAGTGGTCGAAGGTAATATTGCCTCCGGAAAATCTAACGTCGCTGCTAAGTTGGCTAAATATCTTGATATGGAGTATTTTCCTGACCCAACTGAAGACGACATATATGTTTATAGAAATGTGGAGCCAAATTTTGATATTCGCTGTCACAACTTTTTGCTTCCTGATTATGCAAAATACTATACATGTGAAATGTTTTGGAATGAACCGGATCTCATAAATAAAGGAAAAGGACTATATCTTCAATACCACTTCTACTTAAGACGTTACTGGAATTACTTAAGAGCATTATGTCATTTATTTAATACAGGTACACTTCAAATATATACTATCCTCTTCCTCAGGTCAAGGCGTTGTGATTGACCGAAGTCCGTTTTCAGAGTTTATATTCGCTGAAGCCATGCATAAGTGCAATTATTTGTCAGAACGGGGTAAATTTTTGTTGATATCTTTTTAAAACCGTAGGATTATTATGGTTCAAACAAAATCACACGATGACTATAAACAACCTCTGGAAACCGCATCTACTAGTGTACATCAAGGCTCCTATTAAGCAAATACGTGAAAAAATAAAGAAACGTAATATCGTAAGTTTGTGTTACTATCCTTTTTCTTACTCACTCGCACCTCTTAGTTCAGTATATGATGTGACAGAAATTTTTATAACACCATGTTTATCAATTAACATGTTTCACCAGGCAGTAGCTTTTACCTTTGGTTATCGGCATACAGATTTAGTTGTCGCAACACTTAGTAACCATAGCTAACTGTTAGGAATGGTGAAAAACGTAACACAACTCAGTCAGTCAGCTACAACGTAAGAGCATACATATACGTCGATCCAAGTTGCCACACCTCATTAGCACAAAAAGATGAACACCGGATTTATAAAAGTAGTTAATTCAATGACGGTAATGTATAAAAGAAAGATTGTATATAAAAATATAGTACAGGAAGAAAGAATTAGTTCGTAGAAAGAAAGATATAAGCGATTTTAATCTCATAGTTTAAGGGAAGAAAAAGAGTGTATACACCTACACCGTTGTGATCGATTCTGAGTCATGTCACCCAGAGTCTCCAACCATTACTGATGATAGTCACGTGGACCCCAACCAAGTAGTCTGCATCTACCAACATGGCTCAGACTACAAGTTAGTGACTTCAAACATTGATGCCACGTTTTGGTTTGGCCGCCCCTAACTTTCTTCCAACCATCCCGAACACCGGTTAGCATTGCACATCGTGGTAATCAGTGTTCAGGCATACGTAATACGTTGCCCAACCATCTCGGTCGATGAAGATTCACAGCCTCATCAACTGGTTTAGCATCATTCCCTAACACCCTGTGTTTGACCTCACTATTACTTACCCAGTGATCCCAGCAAGTGCGAGCTATATTTCTACTACAATTACTTATACTTTTGTGATATTACGCTTCACATCTAAATGATATGCGCAAATCTAGGCGAGTTAAAAGTCCTTAAGGTTAGTAGCACCAAAATTAGTTTCGTTCCTTTGACTAGGCCTCTTTCTAGGTTTACAGCCTTAACGTTTAAAACGTTTAGCATTGAGATTGTGTATGGGAGTTCTAAAAACCGATTACTAGTCAGCCAGCCATAAAATGTGTATTAGAAAATTTAACTAAGAAGTTTAAAAAAACTCGAGACGTAAGTTTGATTTACGATTAAAGATACACGGGATTACCAAAAGCACAAACTTTCTTTGATGCTGGAAATTAATACTTTGTTGAAACTAGCCATCACTTGTCTTTGTATGACATTCACCAAACACTAGCTGTAATTCAGAAGTCCTTCTAAGTTTACTTTATCCGGCTGATTGCTTATTAAATCTTATCAGAAAATAACTACCGAAATCCCTATATGAAGGTAATGTAAATGACAGAACTTTGACGCAGGTGTTTGTATTGGAACGAGTGATATTATAAAAAGGGATTCGAATTCATGACCTGTTGAGATCTCAGTGCTTTAATCGTCATATACTCGCCACGCTTCGCAAATCTCTTAGTATGTAGAAGCATATTCATGTTTTGGACTTCCTAACAGATATCTTAAATCTGTATTCCATGTAGTTCCCCATTTTGATATGAATGAATAAAATGTAACCCAGAATTTTGGGACTATCGTACTCAGTTCACTTATTTATATTTCCCTGAATCGTATCTTTGATGCCTGATCTTTCCTATTACCACTAATAATGTCATTACCTCTAACCATGGGTTTTCCCTTCGTCCTGCTAACGGGGTGTGGCAACTTGACCCTATGTGCATTCGTACTAGGTTCTGCATTGCGACTGACTGATTGAGAATTCTATAGTATGTAGAGATATATAGATCGGAAAACAAAAAGTCCATTTTTTATCTGTTTTCTCTGGGGTATTGCCTCGTGCCACTTGTGATCTACACTAACATTGTAAATGGGGTACTAATACGGTTGACATCGATTTTGTACATTTATGTTAAATTTTCAGTATTGTCTTATTAATTTGATCTCGATTTTATGTGGTTGGAAGCTTCATTTTGTTTTGAGTAAATCCAGGGTTTGCGCACCTGTTATGGTTGTCTATAAACTCAATACATTACAATTAACACCTCATTTGTTAAGTGTGTATTCGTTATTTATAAATCCTGGGTTGTTAGTAGTTGTTAATGCATCTCATTAGTTAGCAAATGTCTGTGGGCTTTAATATGAATGGTATTTGTTTTGTAGGGACTAAAGATATCCAGAGAGTATCCCAACCTACACACCAATTCAGTTGTGTGGCACATACATGTTTCGGTGCTCTTTTGTACCAATGTATGTGTTTAGATAAATAAGTTCCTTTGACTGTCACTTTACCTGCGTCATCTAAATGTTTACTTGTAAGATTAACCTGAAATGTTAACTTCCTAACTATTTCTAACTACCTTTCAAAATCTAAGTATGTTGTGTGTTGATGTAAGTAAAGAAATAAAGGAGCCATGTCGAACGACGAAAGGTATTTTCGGGAACATTATTCTGCTTAATTCAAAGTTTGTAAAATACATGCACTTTTGTTCCTAGTGATTCTACAAACCATAAGCTGCCGTTTAATGCATCATTCATTCTCATAACCTTTTCTATTCCAAAGCTACTGTAATTTAAACGTAACCTTTTATACTCTATTTTTATACCCTAATATTTAATTAATTAATTAATATTTATTTATTTGAACACAGAAATATTGGTACAAAGGGGCACCGAATACATATGCACTACACAAGCCACTTGATTTGTATGTGGGCTAGGATACTGCCCGGGTGTTCAGGCCGAAGCAGGACTTGTCAACCAATCAGGTGACAGAATAGTTTTCGTCCCTACTCAATGCCGTTAGTCTTGGTTCGGATTCACTCACTTTTAGCCTCGACGGCGAACCAATTAGCCTATCGTGTCAAGGCCTTAACCTAGGTCGAGCCAAGTTCTCTCCTGTATATTATTAAGTAGATATCACGAACATAATATATATTAATCTGTCTACCTCATTCTAATATGTAGTTATAAAGCATTACACTTGAAAGTAGATATTTTAAAACGAAGAGTATTCGGATTTTATGTGCTTTCGAAGTATTGTTGGTGTGTGGTGATACCATCAGTTGAGTAATTTTAAAATTGGACACATAATTTTAAACAGTGAGGAGAGGGAAGATCCCTATCTTCCTATTTGTCATTGCCTAGCCGTAGGATACCTAGGCAAGGGTAGCGAATCAATTGGTGAAGTTGTGAATCCCCATTGAACTGAGGTGGCTGAGGTATGTATTACATATGCCCAATGGCCTCTTACCTCGACATTCAATGTTGGCTGGAGTAGGAATAAGTTTGGGGATAACTAAAATTTGATATCAGTCCATAAAGTCATTGACTGTTGATCTGAGTCATTTTGGTAGAAGACTATCCACACGATAACCACCATCAGTAATTGAAAACGTTTAGTGGAATTGCTCAGAATCTGTCACAATGTTACTGTATATGTTGAGTCCCAGTATTCATTCCTTAGTCTATAGAATTCGATCAATAATAAAAAGGATTTGAAAAACATGAAACTGGTCACTACTCACTGATCAATCGATCGTAAAGAACTCACTTCTACATCTGGTTAGTTGCACCCCGAATAGCTCAGTTGCAACATCCCCACCTAGGTGACACAAGATCTAATCCGTCAGAGTGCACAAGTCCCTTCAAGAATATAAGTACACCTCGGCGATGAATGTCAACTAGCTTGAGACCTAGATTTAGTAGATCTTCCTTTTGACACATCAAACCACCTAACATTCCTTGATATATTTCTTTTCATTTCATCTTCTCGAACCACATTCTCAATCCTTAGTTTTTCTCACTACCGTCGTTACCACATTATTTCGTCTCGTTTGCTATTCATCTTGTCGTTCTAATGTGGTATGAAGACTTCTGCTAGCTCACATTTGTTCCAGGCTGTAAGTTGATTACTGACTGAATGGAAAGAATGTGGTCAAGTTGTGAATATGTTTGGTTTGCAATAGCTCGAACACATGTTACAACATGTACACAGTTACTAGTCAAATAGAGAAAAAAAGTACAGAGAGTAGCCAAATTAACACATAAGTTCACTCTATAAATTAATTTATGGAGTAATGATCTGATTCATATAAATAGGAGCATACTTTCAACTGAGTTTCACTGGTGATAATCAAATGTTATTTGTAAACCCTGTGTGATTTGATCCCAAAACAATCGCTATAGATCATATGTGTTCACTTCTTGGTGTTTCTGTACATGTGAAACCTATGATTTCTCGTTTATCTACATCACCATTGTATATATTTCACTTATTCACTATGAATGTACTTCCTCATATACTCCTACTATACTGTTGCATAGTGTAGCAACTTGAACCGGCATAGATTTGTGTGAGATTATAGACTATTTTATCTGGACTCTGTTCAGTTACTTCAAACAATATTTATATATTACTAAAGGGATGTTCGATTAACATTTTCTTTAGCCTTGGGAGGTAAACGCACGCAATCTAACTGATGAATTCTTAAATGCTTACGAAGACTTACTTGGAAATTATTATATAGAGAATATGGATCGTTACTCTCATATCCTCACTGTGGATGGTTCTACAGTGGATGTTTACGATGATGATGATATCTATATTGTAAGTTTTTTTTGTTTTGAAGGAAAAAACAGTTCATTAATATTTATGGTACCTTTTTAAAATCTTGTTTTTATGTTCTTTTTGGGCATCTGAATTCCATTATAGATGATGAGTTCATATTGTGCATAATGAACTTCAATTTCTCACGAATTCACCGATTTAATAGTACTATACTCAACAATACACATGGATATTATCCCTGATTTATTTTCTAGCTCCAATAAAACGGATTTTTATAATTTACATTCAAATATTTTCTATGGTATTAATTTCATTTTTTACTTACGCCTGTTACTCCCAATGGAGCATAGGCCACTGATCATCATTCTCCAACCTAATCTGTTCTGGGCCTTCCTTTCTAATTCTATCCAATTCTTGTTCATTCTCCTCATGTCTCTCACCATTTCTCGGTGTAATGTGTTCTTTGATCTTCCTCTTCTCCTATGGCCTTGAGGATTTCAAGTGAGGGCTTGCTTTGTGACACAGTTGGGTGCTTTCCTCAATATGTGTCCTATCCACTTCCAGCACTTCTTCCTAATTTCTTCCTCCACTGGGATCTGGTTTGTTCTCTCTCGCATAGTAAGTTGTTGCTGATGGTGTTTGGTGAACGGATGTGAAGTATTTTGTGTAAATAACTGTTAATAAACACCTGCATCTTCTGGATGATGACTTTCATAGTTCTCCAAGTTTCTGCTCCATACAGTAGAACTGTCTTGACATTTGTATTGAAAATTCTGACCTTGATGTTGGTTGACAGTTGCTTTGAGTTGTATATATATATATATATATATATATATATATATATAAGAGAGAGAGAGAGAGAGAGTTGTGAGTACACATTTCTCCACAAAGTCATCAACTTACATAATACATATACACAGTACTACCTGATTCAATATAGAATAAATCATTTTCTACTATTTGAGTACATTTTTGACTCCTATTCAATGTATTTCTTTTAAAGATTGCACAAAATGCCACTGAAATTGACTTAAGTGGTCGATATTTAATGCGTGACGATTACAAACTTCTTCAATGGCGTCTTGCTTTAAGATACGCAAGTAGTATAACAAGTTCCAGACTTGAGTAAGTAGATTGATCTTGAAATGATTTGTCATTTAGTTGTTTAATACTTTGTTAGTAAGAAAAAGATTCATTATTTAGACCTGGATTCATACCAGTTCGACTTTTAATTTATAAATAAAGGGTATTTAAATGTGTCCTAGTTTATTGTTCATCCCAAGAACTTTTATATCACTTATTACTTACCAATTATCAGATTAAATGGAAAAGGCTATTAGAGATGAAGGGGCCTACTTATAGTTTCAAGGATTGTTCAACACTGTAACTGTTGTGATATTATCAAATATATAAGCAGAGAAAGATGATGGCTAGCAGTGGAATTGAGGACACGAACTTCGTCCTGTTTTTGACTCGTCAGCTCGATGTATCTGCATCTCAGGCTTTTTAGTGTCCATTCCAGGACTCGAACTCAATGTACAAGTTGGTGGCTGTTTGAACTCATTAGCTAAGTGGATAATGTGATGGCTTTTAAAGTGAACGTTTCTAGGTTCGAGTCTCGGAGTGAGATTCAGGTACGTCCAGCTGATAAGTATCAAATGAGACGAAACACGCGTCTCGGATTCCACTGATAGACACCATTCATCTCTGCTTATAATGCTTGTGATTAAAGGCAATATCGAAACAATCTGCACAGGGTACATGTATATCAAAAAAGACTGATCAATTGCAATCCTAATCATCGATAGGAAGATACAAACAACCAACACGAAAAATGGATTATGAGATATAGTTCAGAATCAAAGTCAGCGGACGATCTTGTTGTTGTTTTTCACCATACTATTTGTAATAATTGAATCATCTTCATTAACTAAAATGAGTCTTTCTTGACTATATTTTTAATTCATTCATTTTAATTCAATTGGACAGGTGTTTCATCCTAGTACGAGACTCTTTAGCAAGGCATATGCACTGCACCGCCACAAGAAATTGCATTGAAGGCTTTTGATCTCATCGCATATTACTTGCTTACGTACTTAAGCCTGTTACTCCCAATGGAGCATAGGCCGCCGATCAGCATTCTCCAACTCACTCTGTCCAGGGCAACTTTTGTTTAACAATTATTAAGTGAAAACGGTTATTTCAAAGCATTCACAATATGTTTTTTTCTTAGAATTTTCATAGTACCCTGGGATTAGACTAACACTAGTCATTATATATTGATCAATCAGTTATGTATACCCAAGTTTTGTAGGAGGTCAGTTGCACCCTGTATGGAGTTAGATGATAGCATCTCAAAATTGTGAAGCTGAATAATAGAAGCTGGAATCCCATTGGATACATTAGTTCTCTTAAGAATGTACATAAACTTTACTCAAAAGTGTCAACCGACATAAAACCTAGATTCTAGGGTATCCTGACAACTACGTTTAACTATTGAACATCACAACAAAAGGAATAAAAGTGACAAGTCACTACAACATGTAACTATATTGTAAATTAATCGATTGACTTTGTTAAATATTAAAGAACTAAACAAACTTAACTTTGGTTATTACTCAATGAACAATCAATTGTAGACTTACATTATCAGATTAGTCAATAAAACATTATCTTCTTTATAGAATAAAGGATCATAGTCAATGATGATATATTACGTAAGTAGTAAGCATTTTTCATAGTAATTTAATGTAGATCCTTCTATTCCGTCTGTGATAATGTTAGTTCTACGTAGCTTAAAATGATCTAGTTTGATTCCAAATACTGTTTAGAACAGCATTTCTTTCAACTGTCTTTTGACTTCTCATTTGCAACTTGGGAGGGTTCTAGAGTTCGAGTGCTCAAGTTGTACGCAGTATATTATTAACCTGAGCTCTAGATAGAACATAGACAATTGTCAGGAAGATGTTACTACAAGCACCAATGTAAACCTGAAACTACTGAACAACTGTTTCGTCCTACTATGAGATTAAGTTTAAAAAAATAAAACATTACAACCATCGAATACTGTCTCAGTTGTCTAGTGATCAAGGTTTCGAATGCGATACCCAATGTTCTGGGTTCAATCCCTTGTGTTTTAGTCGTGAGTGAGTACAACCTGGACGGAAATGCTACCAGTCGCTTCTTGATCTTAAACGATAACCTAAATAAAATCAGTTCATTGTGTAAACTATTCAATACATGATGGATGGAAAAGGTAGTTATAACACCTCAACTGTTAGGAGACCTTCCCCATGAGAGATAAGTCGAACATATCAACTACTGGAAAACAACGACTTGTAAAACACAACATTTAAGTTAGATTGAATAGATAGAATATGACTAACAGTGGAATCTGAAACGATCTTCAGTGACTTTACAAATCATCTCATGGAAATTCAACCAGATACAAGCCAATCAGTAAATTGGAGGGAGATTCGAACCAATAATTTAACACTAAATAGAAAGAATTAGAATCCTCATATACTTTCTGCATAAATAATAAACATATGAAGTATGAAAATAGAGTTGAGAGTTAGGCTTAGAATAGAAGAATCCTGTATAGTCATTTGGGTGATATGAATAGATAGGGTTGTTTGAAGTGAATTCTAAACGATTTGCTCGTCTTGAGAAGGTAATAAATAAATCATGTTACTATAATGAATATATTTCCATTAACTAAAATGAGTCTTTCTTGACCATATTTTTAATTCATTCATATCTTTTATTAAATACTGGTTTTGTTCATTTTCTTTAGTAATCGTACTCCTTCCCTTATTCTTCTACAGTATTATCGGTTGATTTGTGTGATGGATATATTTTTTAATACATTGTTTTGTACTAGGATATTTATTTATGTTTAAGTAAATAATTATAGATTCCGGGGAACCCTGTAGGACTCTATAGTCACTAGGTGATCATACAAATTGACACTGATGTTTTTTGTAGTTTAAATCACGAACTGATCTTAGCTAGATCATCATAGAAAATTGGGTTTCACTGGACAGTTGTTTCGTCCTAGTACGGGACTCTTTAACAAGGTAGATTCACTGCACCGCCACAAATTGAATCGATGACTTTTGGTCTCACACGGATGCTTAACCTCAGACCTTTCCAGGTTTCCACCACTTACACCGTGTCATGTGTGAGGCAGTTACCCACCAAAGGCAGTGGTAGATGATCCCCCAAAATCTCGAATTGATTGAAGCTAGACATCGTTGAATGCTAGCTTGGGGGGTCTAGAGGTTAAGCGTTCGCGTGCGAGACAAAAGGTCTTGTGTTCGAGTCCTGGGTGTGGGATTTTGGGTGTACACTATTGAGGAGTTCCATACTAGGACAAATCTGCCGTTCGGTGCTTCCAGGTTTTCAATGGTAGTTTAGCTCAGATCGACTCCTGAATTCAACTGTGGAAATACTAAAATCTCCTAGAGTTCTAATGAGAAACCGTGACCAGTGGAGTTCAACTGTGTCTATTGTGAGACAGTAACCCATCGAACACAATGGAAGATGGTCGCGCAATATCGTGAATTGGTTGAAGTCATACATTAACATCGTTGGATGCCTGTTCATTGTTTATTTGTTGTCACCTATTTTACTAACTATCATCAAACTGCGAATATATCATTCAGTAAAAAAAATACCATCTTCATTATATATGTATTGAGATTTCTAATAATTACCTATGTAAAATTAGCATTACTGAGTTCCCTACTAAAACAAGACGGTATTAGTTCATTGTTTCCTGGTTTTAAATAATCATCTAATCAATCTCAGTTCATGATTTAAAATTCTAAAATCATCAAAGACTTATAAACAAGAAATATATGAAGCTCATGGCATATTTTGTTTGGAAGTATTAACATACCTCTCATTAAAGTCTATTGAAGCTTAAAATATACTTGTAAATGTGTTTTTTTTTCAATCAACAAGAAATAGAAGCTTCTCAGATATATCTAAGAAAATGAAAATATGCCACCAAATGCCCTGGTATAGCCAAGGGTGGGGGGGGGAGTTCGCTCTCCCTCTCCAAATGCTCTCACATGGCCACGCGTATATAGCCTCTGCCAGGGAAGTCCTACTCACTGCATTTTCGTGGCGGAGATGTTTTTTACGAAATTTAGAGGACGAAAAGCGCATGTCCGGCACTTTAACTGGGTTGGTGGACATGGAGAGTCCACCTAGAGGAGTTGGAAAACCCTCATTCCAAACCAATGGTGCATATGGGCTCCAGTATCCTGAAGGAACAAATGGCGTATGAACCAATTGTTGGTCACCGGCTACCATGGGACTGCATCTCCTTACGATGCTCCACTGCCTTATGGATCAGACCATTAAGTCGAAGGCTCGGGGTGTGGCCCCCTAAGAAAACCACCTGCTTCGGTTTTGGCACCCGGGTAGTATCATAGCTCTCGCACAAATCAAATGAGATCTGTGTGGCGCATATGTATTTGGTGCCTCCTTGTACCAATATGTATGTGTTAAAATAAATAAATAAATAAGAAGGGTTATATTTCATCTTTTGATTGGATAATTACCTGTGTCATTACTATATTTAGCATGTTTCCATAAAGTTCTAGAAGATTGGAGCTACGTGTAATTATGAATATACTTGATTATTAATTCTGGAATAAGGTGTTCATTTACATTTCACTTGTTCTCTCTATTATTCGAGTTGAAGTGTTGAAACAGTTTAAGACTATAGAAAGTAGCTAAGAAGTCATTAATTAGGTATTACAGTAGCAGACATATCATATCGAACATACTGAAATATGTGGAAATTTTTCAACTTATTTACTTAGAACATATTTGTGTATTTGAATTTAGGCGCCATACTTTATATGTAAAAAAGTAATCTGATATAAGTGTGATATAATTCACAAAGGCATCCTTAATCACTAAACCGCTTCTAACTTTATAGACTGTAACAAACAAATATCTAATTTGTGGTTTGAATATACCCCCTTCAAGTTATTTATTTCATATTAGATTATAGTAGCTAATAGTAACATTAAAGTAAGTAATCCTCTGTTGAAATTCATAAACATTTTCCACTATTATAAGAAAAGATGGATAGTGGCTAGTAGTGGAATCCATGACGCATGTTTCATCCTATTTAGGACTCGTCAACTGAATGTACTTGCATCTTAGGCTTGTTAATGTTCACTCTGTGATTGGAATCCGTCTTTATTTATACTGTTTATGACTTAGTGGTGATATCAAAGCAATCCCTACAGGATACATATATACCAAAAGAAGAGACATCCATTTTTTTAATGGAGTTTCGTTCTCTGAGGTGGATGGTTTGGTTGTGGAGCTTTTATCGTTCTTCTGAACGATATCATCAGCACAAACTTTAGATAGAAGTGAAGTGTTGGAATTTCTCCATATGTGGTTCACAGCTTGTCCTGTATACCTCGATGTTGACCTTGAACTTGTCATTGTTTACTTCTGTGGTTTGATTTGTGTTCCTATGTTTGTGCATAATTTTCGAATTCTCAACCACAATAGCAACAACTCAAGAGCTCACAAAATCAACTGCATACACACTTTATTCAAAAGGGCGAGGACACACTGCAGCACAGTGGCAGCACGAAAAAAAATGAAAAGAAATACCTGGAGGACATATGTCAAAAGAACGGCCACCCAATCAACTCCATCAAAAAATACCAGCCGCATGTTGTTGGAATATTCAGGAAAATATCCCAGAGATTATTCTGTTAATCCTAATGCTATCCTTGGACATGAAATGGTATCATCCTATTGATCAATATTCATTTAACGTGTCATTTTCCTACTGGTCAATATTGTACAATGTTATTTTCTATTTTATGGTACGCTGTGGTTTGTTTGACTGGTATATAAACAAAGTATGTTTGAAATATAATGATTCATATATCCGAGGCTGAAACTTGTGTTCTGGACTCAACTGGCTGGGTTAGACAGGGTAAGCGGGGCCAATCAGAACCCTAAGCCGTTCTACGTGTTTGTGCGTCTTTGGTCCGATCAATAATTCGCTATCCTCCAACCTGCAGCATTATTTTTCACAGTCATAACACATGTATCATCAGAATCCAAGTCAATTACAGAAATCAACAAAAGGATCTCTCTACCACACATAAAAGGCATATCAGAAACGAAAACAAGGCTGCTGAAAACTTTCGGAATAGGTGTGGCACACAAAAGGAGAAAATCACTACAATCAATCCTATGCAAACCAAAGAGTAAAATGACGAAAGAAGACAAATCAAACATCATCTACAAATAAATTGTGCCAACTACGAAAAACACTACATTGAACAAAGCGGACGCTTACTTCATCTTCGCCTGCATGAACACCAGTTAGTAGTCAAACGCCATGACATTCCCTCACTTATATCAATACACGTGAAAGGAAAATTATGCACAAACATAGGAACAAAAATGAAACCAATGGAAGATACAATCAAAACAATGACAAGTTTAAGGTCAACAAAAACCAATCAACATCGAGGTCTACAGAACAAGCTATGAACCACATATGGAGAAATTCGAACACTTCATTTCTTTTTGAAGTTTGTGCTGATGATATTGTTCAGAAGAACGATGAAAGCTCCAAGACCAAACCATCAGAATCATCTATGTGAGCTATAAATCTTCTCCACCATCTCATTCATTACAATTCTAAACATCAATAAGAGGGAGGGGGGGGAAGGATTCAAGCAACTAATATGCAAACATTATCAAACTTACTATTCATCAATTTCTTATTTAAAAAATCATAATCTCATAAATTTGTATTGATTTTCTTTTTCTTTTCTTTCTTTTCTTTTCAAGTTTTTCAAATGCTCATGAAAAATTTACAAGAGTATTTGATGAAGTAGAATTTCCTATGGATTTAAATGAATTAACTTATACTTATGAAGCACAAGAATTACAAGGTTCAGCTATTCATATGGTTAGTTAGTTTATTCCCTTTTTTTTGTTTGTTGTTGTTGTAATTCATCATCATAAAATAGAGTTGAATGATGAAGGTGAACTGAAGTGACAATTAATAATTTTGACTGATTCTTAATGTAGTCTGATGTTAGCGGGCCTGATTGAGCATCTGGGCTACCTGTTCCTGCCATCTAGATATTTCAATAAGTTATCTATTTTTGTTTGTTTTAATATATCATTATGTCTATTAATCGCATAACCTATTCTGCTGCGTTTCTGAAAAGTGTACAACCTTTCGTTGTCAAAGTTACAAAAAACTCAATAAGAGACAATGTGGTTGCTGACAATATACAGCGAAAAGAATGTACATCATTCAGATGTTCATTTATTGGACTGCTAACAACTAGCTGGCGATCACTCAATATTTATCGCCAGGACCGACCAAGAAGAAAGAAACGGAAACTTGTTTGGAATACTTTGCGCTGAGAGTTCTATATTGTACCAAAACTATAATATTGAATAAAGCTGATAATAATAATAATAATAATAATAATAATAATAATAATAATAATAATAATAATGACATAGATTAGATTGAAGCATGCTTCATGGATGATTGTGTTGCTGCACGCTGATTGGCTAATTCTTAACCAATCAACACTAGTCGATACTTGAAGAAGACTTTAGAAGTCTTCTCATATAAAAACTATAAATATACTAATGTTTTCCCTATTGTGTTTCTTACTTCCATCTACTGTTGGTATTTGGAATATAATCTCTTTTCCTGTTCAACTGTGTTCTGATTTGGGGAGTTGCCGAGTGAAGTTAGTGTCCGAGATCACTAAGCAATAAGAATAGTTGGGTTGTTATAATAAAAGAGAATTATAACATCTGGTCAATCACAACTCAATGAGATAAGACTAACTAATTAATTATGTTAGAATTACCCTTTGAAAATTAAGATTTAACCTTAGGATTTGGATAGTAGATTAATGGTCTCACTTTCAAAGCTAAATTATTAAATGATTTTAATAATCTAGAAAGTTAGAATACAATGGCGTGTAAATGTATGACATGAATTCGCTTATTATTAAGTAATCTAATAAACTACATTTATAATGTGTATGGTATTGTTCAACTGAACGAAAACTTGATAGAGATAATCAAAATTACAGAGTGTCTTGGTAATATATGCAAATCATAGATTAAATACATTATTCTCCCATCTCCCATCAATTCCTGTTGTTATATTGATTGCCTTAAGTTTTCTTATCTTGTCCCTTTATTTCAATCTTCTAGTCACAGGCATTCCGCATACTGCTTATATCTGTCAACATAAGTAGCATACTGTATTTATTTAAACACATAAACATTGGTACGAGGGCTGGAATACTTCCAGTGTGCCCAAACTAAAGCGGCTGGTTTTCTTAGTGGATCACTCCCCGAGCCTTTGAGTTAGAGGTCCAATCCAGTGGAGCAATGTCAGGAGATGCAGTTCTACAGCAGCCGGTGAACAAGGATATATTCACACGTCATTTATTTCTTCAGGATCCTGGAGGCCATGTGAACCACTAGTTTGGAATGAGGATTTTTCAACGGCCCTAGATAGATCCTCTATATCCACCAACCCGGTTAGACCCCCCAACGGACATTCGCTTCTCATCCTCTCAATTTCACTAAACAACATCTACGGTGCGAGAAGACACTGATGAGTAGGTCACCCCTAGCAGAGTGGTTGTACACACATGGACATATAAAAGAGCATTTCAAGAAGGAGAGCTGGCTCTCCTCACTTTTGACCATACCGTAACATATCTCACATTGTGTGTGTTTGTATAAATTTCTATTTGATTTAAATCTCTCATTATATCATTTGTTTGTTTATTCCCTATGTATGTATCTTATCATTTTTTTTCTCCTTTTAGGATCCTCGTACTTGTATACCACCGGCATATAATCCAAAATATAAAAGTATACTTGAAATAATGTTTAATCCATGGATTATAAAAACTAATTTCAGGGCTGATCTACCAAAAAAATATATTTGGAAGTAAATATATTATTGTATTTTATTCTTTATAATATACAAAACAACATTTACCATATTGAATTGAATAGTGAATAATCTGTTTATTCCACTGATTCTGGTGATTCAGTTAACTTCGATTCATTCATTGAAACAATTAGGAATATATACATATATACCTTCTAGGTAGTATGTATACATCATTTATATTGTGTTGCCTGTTTAAACACTTTCGATTGAATGGATTTTCATCTTTTGTATGTGTTGTATAGAAATATGAAATGTTTAGAATAGAAATTGTTATAATGCTCAGTTTTTACTTCGTCTAATGTTATAATGGTTGGGTTGCTATGTTTACACGTATGAGACGTTAATTTACCTTTTAGATGAATATCTACACTAAATTCTCATCCCACCCAGTGTCTATTATTCTACAGGACTTCAACACAACTCAGATGATCAAGAACACCGTGATTAGCCTGACCACAATGTAAATCTATTTCCACACCAAAAACTCGACACAATCCAATAGTAATGAACAATCAATAATGAGTCAATGTGTCGCTCAATTTCGTGGATTAGTTGAAGTTAGACATTAACACCATTAGATGCCGGCTCAATGGTCTAGTGGTTAAGTGCTCGCGCACGAAACCAGTAGGTCCTGGGTTCGGACCTCGCAGGGGACGAGGTCGTGGATGCGCACTGCTGAGGAGTCCCACAATAGGACGAAACGGCCATCCAGTGCTTCCAGGTTTTCCATGGTGATCTAGCTTCAATTGGCTCATGATCTTAACCATTGAAACTACTACAATCTCCACAAAACCCATCTGATATTAATGAGTCCTAATAATAATGATAGGGGAATATATAGCTCATCCGACACCTGTCAGACTATCTACATATCCGTCTAAGCGGACAACCAATTATTATCTACGCCCACACATAAGAAATATATATATACAAAGCTATATTTGTGTTTATATTTTACCGTAGATTCTAAAAAAAAACTTAATTTATGCATAATTTTCAATTGATCAGAGGATTTCCAAACCCTTACCCCATTCCCAACAACACCACTCAAAAGTGTGTGTGTGTGTATGGTAGAGTACAAATGTATAAACTCTTTTCGAAATTTATTGGATGGTAATGTCTTGACATATGGTATTTGAAAGTTGATACTGATACTAACTCATTATATATGCGAATCTGGTTACTCGAAATAAAAGATGAAGAGTGAGAAAGGAAGTTTATTTGGCTAAATGACACCATATATATATATATATATATAATCCGTGTCGGGTAGAAACAGGTGTCTAGCTCATTACAATGGAAGATGGTCGCGCAACTTCGTGGATTGGTTGAGGTTGGACATTAACACCATTGCATGCCGGCTCAGTGGTTCAGTAGGTTAAGGGTTCGCGTGCAAGACTGAAGGCCCTGGGTTTGAATCTTGGGAGTGGGGTCGTGGATGCGCACTATTAAGGAGTCTCACAACAGGACGAGACGGCCGTCCAGTGCTTCCAGGTTGTCAATGGTGGTCTAACATTGATCCATTCATCATATCAATCTAAACACATTAGGGATTGTTTACCTGTTACTTAAATGTCTGTGTGTATGGAGGTCAGCGCGGTTCTGTGATTTCTAATGGTTCAGCATTTGGAATTATACAATCTGTATAAAATCCTTATGTACAATAGAAATGTACACGAAAATAGTGTTTCATAGTTTCCCTATTTCCGTGATTTGTATAAATGATAAGATGATATTGTTGAGACAGCTTAACCGAAATAAATAGGAACTAATCCTCAACCCTTTAATCTAGTAATCTGATCTGAAGAAGATTGCGAAGAAACTTTAGGAAATGCCAGTCAGTGATTAAGGTTGGCTTATACACTAGTTGTTCCTTCAAGATTTTGTAGTACACATGCATTATTGGTATACAAATAGTATTTCCCGACTTACTTAGATGAGTTCATCCATAAAACGCTAGACGCCCACTTCTCTTTGCTATTGCCTCTCAATGTTACCATTCCATTTTGATGTGATGAATTTTGTTTATCTGTTTTGGCGGGATAAGTTTTGGAAAAGTCGAACTTTCAGAACTGTCTTCCTACCTGAAGTTATTGTTTTTATGTTTGTTCTCCTGCTTGTAATCTTCTCTGTGACATACAATACCTTCATTATACGTTGTATCTTTCTTAATTTGTTAACTTATTACTCAGTTCTTTTTCACTTATGGCATAGTTATGCCATTACTGTAAATTTCCAATTGCATTGATGTGTGATCACAATTTTGCCCTTTTGTATGAATCATAGTTGAGTTGAATAACTAAAGCTGGCTGCTGACTTTTCTTTAGATTCAAGGCAAGAGATAGAGAAAGGATTATGCAATGGTGGATAGATGCAAGCTTAGTTTGTTCCAGCTCAAGGTTAACTGTGTCGATCAAAAGTGTAATTAATCAATTCTAGAATGCTAGGTTATTAACGGAATAGTTGAAATTCCGATAAGCGACTTTAACACATGATATCAACCAGTATTCTCAAGCTACAACAGTATCCTATAAAAAGGAAATCGTTGTTTTGTAAAAAATGAATCTAGTTTCGAAAGGTAATATGATTTCATAAGACTTCGGTTTGATTTGGTTTCAGTAAATGGGACGAAAGAAATCGTGTAATACTATCTCAACCTTCAAATTGTACTGGCAAGATGGATAGTGGGTAGCGATGGAATCCAGGAGGCAATGCGCACATATGCCAACAAGAGACTGAGGAATTGTAGTTCTACATAACAGTGGGAAGATTCAAGTAAACAATAATACCAAGTGAATTTGAGAGAAGTTAGGTTTATATTTTCGAAATGCATACAGATGCCCAAGTAATCATAAAATCATCCCAATAATCATGAAATACCTTATTTCAATTTACGCTTGAAATTTATATCGACCCATAGAGTTTACTTATTTATTTATTTATTTGAACACATAAACATTGGTACAGGGAGGAACCAAATAGATATGTGCCACATAAATCATTCGATTTGTATGAGAGCTGGGATACTGCCCGAGTACCTAAATAGAAGGTGGTTTTCGTAGGAAGCCACACTCGGAGCCTTCAACCTAATGGTCTGATCCACAAGGCAGTGAAGTAACGTCCGGAGATGTAGTCCTATGTTGGCCAGTTTTCAACAATAGGTTCATACGGCATTTGTTTCCTTAGAATCCTGGAGTCCATGTGCTCCATTGGTTTGGAATGAGGGTTTTCCAACTCCTCTAGGTGGACTCTCCATGTCCACCAACCCAGTTAGAGCGTCGGACATGCGCTTTTTGAGACATCTGAATGATGTTCATGCTTTTGAATGTTTATTGCCAGTAACTACGATGTCTCTGATTGGGCTCTTTTATAACTTGTACAGTGAGAGATCGTGAACGTTTCATAAACGTATCCGAATAGGTTATGCAACTTATGAACATAATGATGTATTAAAACAAACAAAGAAGATAACTTGTTAAAATCTCTAGATGACAGGTACAGTTAGAAAAGATATTCAACCAGGACTTTAGCTCTCTGTGCTGGATGGTTTGTTCATGAAGCTTTTATTATTATTCTGAACCGATATCATCAGTACAAACTACCTGAAGTGTTTGCTGATGATATCGTTCAGAATAACCACAAAAGCTCCTCGACTAAACCATTCAGCTCAGAGAACAAAACTCTATCAAAATCATCCACCTGAGATATAAATCTTCTCCACCATCTTATGTTAAACATTCATTTCAAATTCTTATATTCATTGAAAACGAAAACTGATTACAATTGATGATTATCAGTATAGAGTTGTAAAGGTTGTTGAGTTTTATGGAAATCATGAACCGATCAATGTTAGATCAGCACTAAAAATCTATAAGAATTCGATGACTGTTTCGTTGTAGTATGGAACTCGTCGTTAGTGCTCGTCTACTCTGTAACGGGTGCTTATCTATAACAGTTCATGTAAAAATGATAAAGAAGAATTATGAGTTTAGAAAGGAGATTGTGTTTGTCTTAGTTTCTATGAATTAGATGACATAATAATGTTGATCCTATTGTCTCAAACAACACAGTCAATACCAGAAATTTAGTAATTAAGTAGATCTATACAAAATGGCCTAATTAATTAAACAGAACTAATGAACATTTGATGATCAGCGATCAAATTTATATATAATATACTCTTGTGGGCTAGGGTAATGTTACATTGGTTTTCAGGAGAACTAGACACCATCTAGTCTTTCACTTGACAACCCATACAGTGTAGCTCAATCGCGTTTAGCAGGAGAGATAGACAACATGCAGGCTTAATCTGAGTAGTACAGTTCAATCACAGAGAACAAACCTCCATCAGATAAATCTATTTCTATAATAATCAATCCATTTAGATCATTCATTCAATCTTATGATCATCCAAAATCTTTTAGTACATGAATAAATCACTGATTCATTACTTGCCGACAGATTCATATTAGTCGTCAATTATTCAACCCTCTTTTCTTTTCTTTTTATTGTTATCGAACTATACCGGTAAGTATGTCTTAACAACAACAACAAAAAGAAAAGAAAAAAAGCAGAAAAATGTGCTAACGGATCAACAATCGAATTCTAATGAATAAACCATAGAAGTAAATTCAACTTGGACAATATGTAGAAAAAAGAAAGTAAGAAAAAAGAGAAGAAATTGAGAAAAAAGAAAGAATTCTGGAGAAATCATTAAAAAAGAAAACAAAAAAGCAAAAACACAAAGATCTTTCAACAGAATTAACAATAAAAAGATAATACCGGCTATCAGATATAGAATGCCGCTAATTCATGTTGCTTTTTCTTGTGTTTCAAGGGATGAAGAAGAATTATTGAATTTGTAAAAGATTTTGCTTTTCTTATTCAAATGTGGTTTATGGGATTTTCATGCTTGAAATTTTATCCAATTATACGAATACTACTAATACCAATAGTTATACTACTAATATGGATAATAGTAATATACCACTACTACTACTACTACTACTAATGAGCTATGTTTGAAGCGATTACGAGTTCACCTAGTCTGAGAACGGAACAAAGACTCTGTGACCAAACACCAATAAGCAACTATTCTGATGCGTCCCAACCTTGCTAACTAGAGAGAGATGTCCAGATTCAAAATGGAGAATATATTCCGCAAGCAACCAGAACCACAAGCAATAACAATAGGCACAAATCAAACGTCTATATACAGCATATAGTTGTCCTTGGGAAGCGTTACAAAATATCATACTAAAAAATATAACGAACAAATAGCGTTTAAGATTCTCTCATGTGGGAAATATGACATGAAGGTGAAAATGAGAGCTTTCGGCGCGAAAACAAGCAATTCAAATTTTTAAAATAAAATTACAAAAATAAGATATTTGTCAAGTGAGTTCTGTGGATCTAACAACCCCAGAACAAGAACACAAGTGGCAACGATCTGATATATTTGAGTACAAAATTACAGATCATCTTAGTCAAATCTGAGAACAGTACTTCATTTGCAAAATGTCAATTAATGGTCTCACACTTCATTGTACTTTCATTTCCACACCAATCATTTTCTCTTCTCATTGTCTTTCTTTCGATCTTCTTAGCCTTCTGCTGTCAGGTATTTTACTTTCGATTGATAATACATACTACTTATATTTATCGATATCAGTAGAACATAATGTGAAACGATTATATATTTTCCTATATATAAGAAATTGAAAATATAAATTCTCATCAATCGATTTCCTAACTTGTTTCAAAAGAGTAGACAAGCAGAGAAATTCACTGACATATACAGAGTATCCATTCAAGATTATCGTAACTTTATACTGTGATAGATTGTAACCTGTTATTGATATAAAATGAGTATATCCAGTCAGGATTTACAATAATATGGTTATTATCAATCTAAATTTACCTATTTATAAAATAGGTGACCCTATGATCTGAACGGATCCTCAAATCTGAAGGTGATAATCGTCACATGCTGGTATTGACAATTGACTAACAAACTAGCAAATGTTTTGTTCTGATCTTGAAGTAAATTCCTCATGATATACTGATTCATCAGTATAGGGTTGACGAAATTAATAAGTTTTTGATTGAGATCATCAACTGATTGATGTTATACCACCATTGAAGACCTGGAGGTACTGGACGGCTGTTTCGTCTTATCCTGCGAGTGGGATAATCAATGCGCACTGCTGAGGAGTCCCACAACGAAACGGTCGTCTGGTATTTTCAGGTTCTCGATGGCAGTCTACTATCAATCAATTCATGATCTCAATCAAATACTGGTATCAGTTAGCAAAACAGTATCGATTACGAAATGTTAGATAAACACCTTCCATTGTAACTGTTAAGGTCTCATTACACATAAGGTACGTTCAAGGTGTTCGTTCGAGGTAGTTATAAAGAAACTACTTTTTGATTACTGGCTAGTTACTAATGTCATATGTGTCAGATCAGTCTTAATGTAGACCGAATTTTATCGATTAAATTAAAATGTAGCCACTAATCTAGGTAACTCGACAACGTGTGAACCATTTTGATGGTTGGAGGTAGTTAACAGCTTTAGACACTACCACAATCCAATGACAACTGAAATTACGTTGAGATAGTCATTGACTGTTATAAGTTTCTATTCTGTTCTAATACAATCCACAAAATAAAGGTTTTTTAATCAAAAATTTATTTCAAATTGCAATAAATGAATGTTCACATTGTAACGACAAGATCATTTCAGCAATAAAGAACAAATAAATAAGACATTGACTGATAATCAGTGATAAATCAATGCTCGATCAATATCAATAGACCAAGAAGGGTTCAGTTAAGACTGAAATAACTAAATGACTCTGATTAAGCTATTGAGTAATCTGGTCAGAATTCCGTGAAAATTATCACTTCTTATAAAAGTACAGACATAGCTTTATTGGTGAACCGAAAATAGCACTAGAATCCTTTATAATCTCTTTCATTTTCTAAAAATTCAGGGAACAATTCAAGTGCGTTGGAGCTATACTGTCTTTGATTACAAAATTTGATGTAGTTCAACTGTGGCTAATTGCACGATCCAAAACAAGCGTTTCATCTACCTGAAGAGTTCGAAATAGATTTCTTTGCTAACCACAATTCAACGAACGTCAAAAAAGTCTTACTGAACGAAGCTGAAACTTGCACAAATACTACAACCATCATCAGGAAGGTAAAAGTACTTATAAATAATTGTCTACGCAAGATACTCAACATCCATTGGTCGGATACCATCAGCAACAGCCTTCTGTGACAGAAAACAAACCACCGTTCAACTAAAGAGGAAATTAGGAAAAGACGATGGAAATGGATAGGACATAAATTATGCAAATCATCAAACTGCATCACGAGGCAAGCCCTAACTTGGAATCCTGAAGGGAAGCGGAAAAGAGGAAGGCCAAAAAAACACATTACGTCGGGAAATAGAAGCAAGCATGAAAAAGATGAATAACAACTGGAAAGAACTGGAAAGGGTTGTCCAGGACAGGGTTTTATGGAGAATGCTGATGGACGGACTATGCTCGTTCACGAGGAGTAACAGGACCTTTGGTCTCGCGCGGGAGCGGTTGGTCATTCAATAGTGTGGTTTGGTTGAAACTAAACATTAACACAGTTGAATACCAAATCAGTAGTGTATGAGACCGAAGGTCCAGGATTCTAATCCTGCATGCGTACAGTTGAGCAATCCCATATTAGGATAAAACGGCCGTCCAAGTTTTGAATGACAGTCTAACATTGATCCACTCATTATATCAATCTAAACACAACAATCTATACAACCCTAAATTGATAATGATGTAATAACTAGTTAAGTTTTATGTACTGTTAAATTTTATTGAAAAATATTTAACTTTCATTGGTGCAGAATACTAGAAGACAATGTCAGTTGAATTAA